CCACTTCCGGCTTTTTTCTTTTTGCTTATGTGGTGCTGAGGAATTGAACCCAGGGCCTCAGGCATGCAAGGCAAGCGCTCTACTACTGAGCCACCTTCCCAGCCCTCCTGTGTGTCTTTTAAGACATCAAACATCCATCTTTCTGATGGAGATAGAAACAGAGCCTTCCTGTAGGCCAGAAACACACATAAATGCAGAAGGAAAATTACAGGGGTCTGAAGATGCCTTTGTCACTTAGAAGATGGGGCTCCCTCCCTCCCCTCTAGTCCGCTATGTTCCCACCAGTGACTCAACTGCCCCTATGTGGTTTGCCCCATGACTACAACTGTGAAAACTGTTTGAAAGCCATCTTCAGGGTACCTACAAGGGAGGGTGAGGGGCAAGGGGACTCCCCTCTGAGTGAACAAAAGCCCCCCAACAAGGGGAAAGCCCATTTTGCCTCTCACTTGGTGTCTACCCTTCTCAAGGGTATCCCCTCAGAGGACGCCTTCTCAGAGGGGTATTCTGCATGTAAACTGGGTGCTGGTGATGTTCTAGGCTCTTCTCTGGCCTTCCCTAGATTCCTGGTTGGGGGGGGGGTGTCCAAGCCTTCCTGAGCAATGATCACAGAGGCAGAACAAACAATACTTAAACCTGGAAGGGTAGTGACTCTGTGGCTTCTCCTCTTACAAATTCCTCTTGCCCACAGTAGGCATAGTGACACAAGCCTGTAATCCCAGCAACTCAGGAGACTGAGGAGGATCATGCGTTGGAAGCCAGCCTCTCTCAAAAACAAAAGCTAAGCAAACATAAAAACACCTTGCCTACCTTCTGTTTCTCAGTTCACTCAAGAGTCAGCAGTAGGGGCTGGGAAGGTGGCTCAGTGGCAGAGTGCTTGCCTTGCATGCATGAGGCCCTGGGTTTGATTCGTCAGCACCACATAAACAGAAAAAGCCAGAAGTGGCGCTGTGGCTCAAGTGATAGAGCGCTAGTCTTGAGCTGAACAGCTGAGGGACAGCGCTCAGGCCCAGAATTCAGGCCCCAGGACCGACAAAAATAGAGAGTCGGCAGTAATCCTCAGCCTGGGGTAGAACCAGGAAATCAGAGGGCAGAAGAGAACACGCTTGCATCCCAGCAGATGTGAAAAAAAGACATATAGTTTGAGACTGGAAGAGGAGTATAGGGAGAAAGAAGGATGTCTGCTTATTCTTTTTTTTTAAATAAGTTTTTTATTGTGAAAATACTGTACAGATTTATTATTTATTTATTTATTTTTAGGCTAGTGCTCTACCACTTGAGCCACAGTGCTATTTCCAGTTTTCTGGTAGTTAATTGGAGATAAGAAGCACGTGGGGACTTTCCTGCCCAGGCTGGCTTTGAACTGTGGTCCTCAGATCTCAGCCTCCTGGGTAGCTAGGAATACAGGCGTGAGCCACCAGTGCCCAGCTTTGCCTGGATGAACTTTGAACCCCTGTCTTTAGATCTCAATCTCCTGAGAAGCTAGGATTTCAGGCACGAACACCAGCGTCCAGCTCCCAGTGACCTTTTAACCTGCCCAACACTCACTGAAAACCCCAGAAATGTACCTTCCCACAAATTTCACAAGTTTCATCCCTTGCCAGGTGAGTCTATAAATCAAGGGTCAATCCAGACTGAGCCAAGGGTTTCCAGCCTTCCCAGAACACACATGAGAGTATGGACCAAACTCAGAGAACACACGTGGCTTAGCTTTTTGTCCAGCATCGACCCAAATACTGTCCAGGACCCCCATTTCCATCCTCTCCAAACACAGCCAGGCCTCAAAACCTAAAGCTGCCAATCATCACTTCCGATCCTCATTGGTGCCGCTCAAAATTCCCAGACCCTGGAGAAAAGGAGTAGGAAAACCATGGCACTCACCAGCTCAGACTCTGATCCTCCTCCCCACTCAGTTTCAGCCATATTCAGAGAGGCTCAAGCTCGAGTGGCCGTTAGAAAGTGAACAGTGGCACGAGAATCTGGACAGGTGACCTGTCTCCTCCCACCCGGATCCCGAGGCGGATGCTGATTGGCTGGCACTTACTAAGCATATTAAACAGCCTGGAAGATATCTTCTTAGGACAGTGCCATTACCTCCCTGCAGCTGATTGGCTGTGGAGCTCCGCACCCTGCTGAGGAGGGCCAGTCTGATTGGTCCAGGGGAACTAAGGCTTCAGGCTTCTAAG